ACGGCTGACCTGGTGACGTGAACAAATTATATAATTTGAGTACAGAATCTGCTATAGTCATTAAGATCTAACTAGCAGGATCAAATAACAGTCAGACTGTGTTCTAAATAAACTTTGTCTTTATTTCATTGACTTATCTGAAGAATGATTTATTATCTGATATTTTTGTTGTGAAGATCTACATTTACTGGCATTTTTTGGAGGGTGGGTGGGGAATTCCTTTGAGTGTCAACATGTATCACTATTTCATTCATATTATATACACTATTTTATACTTAATATTTTATTTTTCGTGGTAAGCTTATTTTAGTTTGTCATTTGGTATCACAATAAATTAAGGAAAACCATATCCAGGAAAATTATGTTGGAAAAGTTTACATAATTCACACAAGTGCCTCACTAAATTCTGTTGTAAACTATAGTATGAATAAAAAACATCACCAATTTATGAAATCTGTAGTATAGAACATTGTTTCTACATTATTATGTAGGAAACTATAGTAGGCTATTTGTTAAAATGGTTTAAGTACAGTATACATATAAATTCTACAGAAAACTATAGAAGGCTCATGCATTATATTTTTCTCCACAAAATCAATAGAAAAAAATGTCAGAATGTCATAGAAAACTATAGGATCACACAACTGACTTGAGACAATAAGTTAGTACTATAGAAAACTATAGTTTTTACCACCAAATCTATAAGAACGCCAGCTGACATGAATCTGTAGGTTTATTTTTTTTCCAATAGTTTCTTACAGTATTCTATAGAATTCTGTAGGAAATTACACTTGGAAAATATTCATCTATCAATCCTACACAAAACTATAGTACATGTTTTTGAATCTATAGTCATGTGAAAAAAAGTACAGAATGAATTTGTTTTCCTGCAGCATTCTATAGCATTCTATAGAATCCCACAAACTTCTATAGAAACCTGTACTTTTTCTATAGGACTTTTTCATAAGGGTACAAGAACACTTATAATGGTTCTTTACAATGGATAAGGTTAGGTAATCACTGCATGGTGATTACTTATAAAAAATGGTCACTGGTCCTGTGTAGCAGGTTATATTATGGGTTACACCACAGGTTAATAGTGGGTTCTATAACATTCAACAAGTCACTAAGGGTGAACCTCGGGTGACTGGTAATTATCGGGTGAGGCTTGGGTGATGGGTGATCTTCGGGTGAAGAGTGAATATTGGGTGACGGTTGAGTCTTGGGTGAGACTTGGGTGACGGTTGATCTTCGGGTGAAGAATAAGTCTTGGGTGAGACTTGGGTGACGGGTGATCGTCAGGGGAAGAATGAGATTCGGGTGACGGGTGAGCTTATTGAGTTTCTAGTGTGTCCCTTTTGGACAACAATTATGGTTCTCACGGGTCACGGGTAAAAAACTAATTCTAATAATTAGTTTAGCCTGTAGACTTACTTCTTTATACTAGTACTAATACTACTCAAATACTAGGCATAAAAATAATAGTCCAAATTATATCAGGTAAAACTAATCCTTATTAGTTTAATTCAGGCCCATTCAACAATAGTAATTAAAGCCTTGCTATCTATGATTTAGTCCGAAAAGCTTATTTATTATTATTACTAATAATACTCTATTATTACTATTAGGCCTAGTAATTCTATAAAAATAATGGAGACCTCCGGTGCAGTGAAGCTTTTCACTTCCAATTAAATTCGCGTGGTCACGGGAAAACTCGCTAAATTCAGGCCTATTTATATAGTTAGGCCTAGATATAAAAATTGGCAATCGCAAGTCATTAAAACTCACGAAAACTATGGGATAGCCTAAAAACTGCCAATGAGCCCTCTATCAACGTAAATGAGGAACAATTATTAGCAATACAATAATTAATAAATGAATAAGGCTACAAACCACGACAGCTCATTTAATATAGGCCTAATGTAAACATACCGATGAGATGATGGATTTCCATTCAGCACCCTGCGACCTCAACGGGAACAACCGGAAGACTCACGTCTGTATGGTGGCTGAAGGCGTCCATTTAGATCGGCGTGTTAGATACAACGCGAGTCGCCGTTAAGCCAGCACGACGAAAAAGGCGCCGATCGGCGACTTTTTCGTCGTAGGCTACTTGCTTAACGGCGACTCGCGACTTTCACAACACGAGAGTCGCCGTTAAGCCACGCGACAAAAAAGTCGCCGAAAAAATCTGCGCCTTTTTCGGCGACTTTTTCGTCGCTCTGGCTTAACGGCGACTCTCGGCTCGGAAGTTTATAGATAGTTACATGCGGAATGGTTACATTTTACTTCTTTTATATGGACACAGATTACCAATTAAATATTTCTACGCCGTCACCCACCAATTAAGGGCGAAAGTTATTTTTAGTCTTTCTATTCCTTTTCCCTTTCCCCCTTTTGCATGGCGATTTTGGTGTAGAATCGAAGAAAGGGGTTTGAAAATACATTTTCTGCTAGGTTTTGGTGAATATTCATGATTTTGAGAGGTTGGTTAGGTTGAAATGTAGGACCGAAAATTGCATGTTTACTTGTCTCTACTTGTGAACCTCATACATGCTTTTGTGCAAGAGTTTGCCACATAGGCCTACCGTTCTACCCAACGAAAATTTGGGAAAAAGTTAGAGCTGGTCTAAGATAAATTAACATTAAATCAATGGGGAAATATTTAGTGGTATAAAGACGTGTACATTTTAAATTTATTCCAGTGTAACTAAACAGGTTTTGAAAGTAGGCCTACACGTGTCTGTAACACTCATAAATTTTAATTTGCCCTAGTGTCACTGAAAATGTTGATATAGCTCGATAGCCCAAACCCCTCCAAAATCTCTTCCATTCTGATTATATATACAAGAAGTAAAATGTCGCCATTGCGCATGTAACTAACTAAAACTTCCGAGGCGAGAGTCGCCGTAAGCCAGAGCGACGAAAAAGTCGCCGATTTTTTCGACGACTTATTCGTCGCGTGGCTTAACGGCGACTCTCGTGTTGTGAAAGTCGCGGGTCGCTGACTTAACGGCGACTCTCGCGTTGTATCTCTAGACACACGCCGATCTAAATGGACACTTTCAACGTCTGTTATACGTCTGCTATTCAAATCATCTATTTTTGGTAGCACAACTAACCAACGATTGCGCGGCATGAGTTATGACGTCAGCGCGCGCTAATATTCTAACATGGCTGAGAATGTAAACATCACGATTTCTTTGGAGGATTATTACGGCTATTAATACTATTGTGTATAAACGAAGCTAAGTATTGGGTTAATTACATAACATATGGACCAGTAGTACTTAATGCTTTCTTTGGATAGCTATATCTTGGTGTGACTATGCGGAAATTCCCACCTATATCGTGAGAAGTAAAATGACAGTACAGGCCTTGGAGCTGGGAATACGAATATATTTCGTTTCAGATGCCTGATTCCTTATTTACATGACATATCATAAATCAGGGCAAAATGTGGTTACAATTCCAGTTTGGTAACGCTGTTATTAACATTCGCGGTGGACACACCAGATACTGATGTATAGACTCTAAACCTTCTCGTAATGTCTTGGAATTGTGATGAAGTAATCACTAATGTGTCAACATACTGTTCACAAAAAATTGCTTTGATCCATTTAATAAGTCGTTTTCTAGAATGATTTGATTAAAGTGCCTCTCTAATTTTGAAATCGTACTTAGGTTTTGTTTTGTTTTTTTTTGTTTGTTTTTTTTTTTTTTTGCTGTTTAGTGAAAACGATGAGTAGAAAATTTTATTTATCACCCATCCCTTTCTTAAACGCACAAATAAATAAATATAATATTTAAGTATTCCTAAAATTCCTTAGCAGATATCGCTCAGTACACTGTTAAAAATAAATATAAAATTACAGTGAAAAACATGTAATTTATTTAGCATAACGCTGTAAAAATACCACTGCATGTTTTTATAGTATTATCTTACTGTATTAGTGAGGTAACATGTGATTACTGTAAAAGATTAGTAAATTAACGATAAAAGTGTAGTTTTACATGTTAGAACTGTATTTTTTTTACATGTAACCCATATTGATACAACTATGTTTGTTAACGTACATGTAAGTTTTACTTTAACTGTTTTCATGGGTAATTCTACTATTCCTATTAAATTGTTAAAATTATATGTATATTTACAGTTATAAGTATACTTAAAATATCACATACTTGTAAATTTACACCTAAGCGATAGATTTAGATTTACAAACACCATGTAAATTTACAGTGAGTGTAAAATAACTTTGAGGTAAATTTATAACCACTTTACCACAGTGTAAATTTACAGTGAATGCAAATTTGCCTCACTTTCTATTTACAAGCACACTGCACATTTTCATGGATTTTTTTTTACACTCTCTGTAAATTTACATGGTGTTTGTAAATCTAAACTACCTCTTAGTTGTAAATTTAAAAGTCAGTGTTAAAATACAGTCATTTTATCTTTATTTAATATTTACTGCGATATTTGGTTTTTTTATTTTTGTATATTATAGATATTTATTGTGATTATTTTTGTCTATTTTGTCTTGAGTAATATCACCATATGTTTGCCGCATTATAGCCCGATTGGAACTGACGTGCCATAAATCCCTATTTCATTCATTCATTCATGACTTGTAAATATAAGGGTTGTAACTTGTACAGGAATAGCACTGATTTTCGGGGGTTAATGGCGTAGGCCAACCAGTGGGCTATCCAGTTATGATAAAGATCATTGATCAATCCAAACAGTCGCACCGGAAGTCCATCAATCAATTTTGGACATTAACCACCATAGGCCAGGTGAAAATCGTGGTTAAATCTATTCATCAAATTGGTAATGATAATCCGTGTGTTACGTGGACTATAGGGGCTGGTTTATAGGTCGCCAATGTTCAATAAATAGAAGTCATTGAGTCATGTACAAAGCTACTGGAAACGCTACGTTAATTCATACTTTTGAAAATGCTTAGTTATATTTATTTTTTAAATATTATTTCCAGTGACCCCAAAAGCCTTACTAAATCTCCTCAATTAGAAATAGAAGAATGGCTGACACCCGTGGCAATTTAAATGACTCACAGGATCAAAGAGAGCTGACTGACGCAGAAGAGTGCATAAGACGAATAGAAGCTTTAGATGAACGTATTCAACAACTTAAAGATGAAAGACATCGCATTATTGAGATTCATCGTAATAGGAAAGATGGACTACATGAACGCGCTGACCATCAGGAAGAAGAAAGAAGAAAACATGTCGATAAGAGATATGGAACATGTGTAGAGGAAACATTTAGAGAAGCAGAACAGGAGATATACCAGGATGTTGATAAACTCTATGGTGACAGCAGAAATAACTTGAAAACTATAGATGGAAAAATACAAGAACTAGAAGAAGAAAAAACACAACTGGCGAAAGGTGATATGTTTTGAATATGCTTTATAATACCAATTTGCATTGTCCACTTGTTGTTGCTCAATTTGTCTTACTTGGTTTATAGAATTTTGGTTCAAGCCAGATAATTAATTCATTCCAGTGAGATAATTAATTCGTTCAAAGAAGATTATTAATTTGTTCAAAGATGATTATTAATTCGTTCAAACTAGATAATATTGTATTTATAATATCTTAATTATTTGTCGTTTTTGATCGGCTTTTCGACCAAACGACGATGCTTGAGCAGACTAGAGCCAAATCTCTATCTCTAGATCTAGCCCTAAGCCTTACCCTTGCCCTAACCCACAATCCTAAGCAACAATCACGTGTCCCACCTCTCGCGTCCTTGCGGAAATAGATCTAACACTATAGAGACAGCGAGCGTGTAGAACCAATTGCGTGACTTCCAGTCTTCCCTTTAACAATTTGGTTTGTGAATGCAATAGAGGCTGCGGTGTTTGAAAACCCTGTAAACGCGAGAGAGGTAATAGTTTCGACGGCTTCTTTTCAAATTTGGTGTGAGGGTCATTTCATGTCAAGGAGACCAAATTCTGATTCTGAGAAAGATTTAAAGTGACCTCCTCAGATAAAGCGCAAAGTTAATATTGACTGAGCTATGACCATTTGAATCGGGGTACCCTTTCGCAAGGTTTAAAACTACTGTTATATGACTCGATTTTTATGATCTGAATAAATTCCTTCTAATCAGTTTATATTCTTGAAATTATGGGGTTTGTAAGAGAATGTGCCAATGTGGTATAGATTAAGAATTTACCATCACATTTTACAGAAAAAAGTTCCGTCAACTGTGTATGGAGCGCCTTAAGTGCCAAAAATTGATATTTTTGCAAAAAAAAAACAGTGCAGAAATTTTAATACACTATATTAGAAGTGGTTACTTATCACATGTATACTGTATCAATGGGTAATGTTTGAACAAACATTATTAAACGCCATATATTTGTCGGTTTCTTGTGAAATTAGCTTTGAAAATCGACTCATACAGGAAAATGGCTAAAATCACTCTTTTTCAAACGATAACCATGTATAGGCGCAAGTCATAAAAAAAATATAAAACTCTGGGAAAATGTTCCATGTACACATATCTATCATGTATAGGCGCCTTCCGTAAAAAAAAATATGAAACTTTGTGAAAATGTTCCATGTACACATGTCTATCAAAGTTGAAAAGCACACCTTTGATATTTTACAACTTCTTTTTTTGTATTTTAATTAAATTTGAATAGTAAATTATGATTTATTTTCATTTTTTGCCGAATTAAATGGATTGATTTTAATACTTCTAATTGCCTGAACATCGAGAAACAAAGTCTTCTAAGAACATTTGGTGAATACTTTACAAGTATGCATCAAAATCTGACCAGGTGGATACTATAAATCTTTTGATTCAATAAACAAAACATGGAAAATTCATGATTTTTAACATGTTGATGTATTTGAATTTTTCACCCATTTGAAAAGATATCACTTTCCATACTTTATTATCATAAAATCACACCCTGTAAGATCAAGCTTATGACTATGCATAGCTTCTATAACCTGTATTTTAATTGTTTTCCAGAAATCCACTAATTATGTATACTCCATATCTCATTTATTCAGAAACTGCTGATCAACCAAATTATCAAATGATCTTCTCAAAAGCAGGAATTTGGAAAGATTTTAAAGGGATTATTTTTAAAAGAACAGAAAGATTGCGTTTTTTAATCTATACTTACATATTATTCTATTGTAAAATGATTTATATGTATTAGTATTAACAAATGTGTTGCTATGTTATCTCCCTTGAATATCTCTTCTGCTTCCCCTATATACCAAATTGCAGCCTCGGAACAGCCCTATTGTAGCCATCAATCCTGAACAGACAGACACAAATATTAGTATAACTTAATTTTTTAGCTTTGAACCTGGATGATTTTTTTTTGTAGAGCCGGTAAAAGAACGTACATTTATGGTTAGAAAATTTGGTAGAATGCCCGAGAATCAATACATCCGCATCCAAACCAACTTATCGTTTCTCGTTTCCAACTTAATACCAGATAAACTGATATACCGTCTGTTTAGTAAACGTGTATTTGACGATGACGACTTAGAAAAAATCAACAAGGAGAAAGAAAATGGAAGAAGAGCTGTGGTGTATAGAATGTTAATGATTCTGTTTGATTGTGGAAAGTGGGCGTATGAGCAATTTATAGAATCTTTACAAGAAGAGGGATTTACAAGAGCTGTAGAAATACTTGAAAATGGTAAATACCCTAATTATACTTGCTCAGTTGCTGTACTTATGTAACATTGAAATCAGACGATTTGGTGGTAAAACAGAAAAATTGTACAAACCAACCACTTACATTCTATTGAATAATTATTTTATATTTTAGTGCCTCAGGCTAATACAGGAAGAGTTAGAGGGAGGGTTCCTGATATCGAGTACGACCGACTTACAGCGAACTTTTGTTATATAATTAACTCAATAGATCCCTGGACTTTATCAGCTAGACTTTTAACTAACAAAGTTATAGATCATGATGAATATGAAGAAATTGAAAGTAAGAAACTGGAAGGACGACGTGACGTAGCTCGAAAATTACTCAATATATTAACATACTGTGGTCCAGGGACATTGGATAAATTGGTACGATCGTTAAGAGAGGAAGGTTGTGCAGACATTGCAGATCAACTAGAATCAGGTTGGTGTTATGTTGTTAAAAGATCTGGTTGTCCAATTTTAAATACCCACAATCCAGCTGGGAGTATATTAATATTATTGGTGCCTGTGTCCGCCCATCATGGTAACACATTTTTTTTTTTGATTGTTCTGTTAGTCAATACAGATTTGGAAATTTTACTTTTTATAATATTCATTCCAGAAAAACCCCCACCTCAAGAATCAAAACCCTTCAAACAAAATGAATTCAAGAACCCAAAGCTCAAGAATGCAGAAGGTAGGATATTAAAAATTTGAAACTGACCGAACAACTGTTGTACTGGCCAGGCCCTCGCTCCTACACCACTGACAAGTTGTTGCTGACCAGGCCCTCAATCCTACAACACTGACAAGTTGTTCCTGGCCAGGCCCTCACTCCTACACCACTGACAAGTTATTCCTTGCCAGACCCTCACTCCTACACCACTGAAGCATTGAGACCGAACCCTGTTGATTTTAATGCTTTTGAACTCGCTAGAGATGAGATTTATTGAAGGAATCAAGTCTTCCTGACGGATAAGCTGCTACCCGTGGTTATATATTTTTTTTGACACTAAGCAGCTAAAGGGGGAGTGGGGGGGGGGGTATTTCCTCACTGCATTGTTGCCTTATTTTTCCTGGTTATTTGAAATATCCTATTCTTGTGGATTAAATTCGTGACCTTATTATCTTAGAATGTACATATCTTTGATTCCAGCAAAAAATTGGGTAGAGGATGAAATCGATGAGTCAAGTGGCCAGATTTCGATTTTCTGTTTGTGCGTGACAAGCCGAAGGGTCGCCTGTCCAACCTTCCGGGTCCTCCCCTTTCTTCCACTAAGGACCCATACTCGCAAGCGACTTTTTAAAATAAATTGAACTATATGTTAGGCCCTAAATGACGTAGTTTGTGACGATTGGATGTTAAACCCACAGAGTTGACCGGTTTCCTTGGGGTCTAGATGTAGGGCCCTTCATTTTGTGGGACGGAATAATTTTCATATTTACATTTTTGTATACATTAAAATTCTATTTTTTCATCTTTTGGCCACTACCCGAAAACTTTGACGACCGACTTCCCACCCCAACCGTCGTGTCCCGTTTTTTTCTGGCTTTCTAACCGAAATTGTACATAGTTTTTTTTAACTCTACAGAAAATGGTAAAATTATGCTAGACGGGATTAAAGAAGACAGTTATCCAAAGAATAGAGCTTACAACGAAGGCTGTAAAGTACTTAATAACAACTTCATCTTAGGAGTTATTGGTGCTACAGGAGATGGTAAATCTGTTTTAAGTTCCATGGTAGCTTCCAATTTTATAGAAAATCATCCTGACTTTGCACCCTTGGTGATAAAACTCAGAGATATTGATGACATTTCTTTTTCAGAAAAGAAAAACATGCTTCTAATAGTGGATGATATTTTAGGTCGATTTGATCGCTCCAATGTAAATATATCTAAATTGCAGGTTAATTTCGAGAATCTTTACTTACATATAAAAAGACGTAAAGTTGCAGTTATATATGTTATGCGTGATTATATATATAATGACTGTAAACATGTCCGAAATATTTATGACATTTTTTCCAATGAATATTGTATATTTTTGCATAAAGAAAGTCTTTGTTTAAATAGACAAGAAAGGGAAAAGATTGTTAAATACCACTCAAATAAGTTGCAAAAATCTGATATCATAAACATTACTGAAAACACAGCCACTTCCTTTGGTTTTCCAAGCATTGTTAAATTATTAAGCAAATTATTAAGTACATGCAAACGAGATGAGATATTTACATTTAAAGGTCTCATCGACTTTTTGTTGTTTAATTTTGAGATGTTTTGGAAAGAATATAAAGATAAGTATGCGTGTTTTATTCTGGCTTTTATTCTTCGACCTGTAAGCGTTAAAACATTACAATCAGACTCATCATCAGATGTTCAGTCTCTTGTGAGTAGAATACAAAATGATGTTTTTGAGAATTTTAAATTAATTCAAGCCTTGGAGGTCTTTGAAAATTGGTCAGAATCTTTTTATGCACGTGATGAAAATAACTGTTTTATTTTTCGCGAGTTTGTTGACGAGGCATTTCTCATTCACATGTTTCCAAAGTTTACAGATCTTGCCATAAAATTCGCACCGTTTCAACTTTTAATGGAAATGATGAGAACGGAAGCTGATAAGCGAACTGTAACAAGTAAACAATGTGATTCAATAACAATCGATTTCTACCCAAACCTTGCTGATCGTTTTATTAATGAATTTAAAAATTGCAATTACGACGTTATATTTCATCAAGCATTCTTAGATGAACGTTTTCTTTCAACTTTTGTTAAATTAGAACAATATAATGATCTCGTGAATCATTATACGTCTATTCCATGTGGAAGAGTTGGACATTTTAAAGATGCTGGGAACTTTTTGCATTTTATTTGTTTGCATGGAAGTTCGACATGTTTTAAAACTGTCATATCCCCAGCAACAGAAACTTATCTAAAGAGTGAAACACAAAATGGTCATAACATATGTGATCTTGTAGCAATCTCTGATTTAGATGCAATTGCTAAAGTAGATCTTCTTGCCATAAATTATAAACATATGTTTAAAAATACTGTGTTGCATATGGCCGTTCAATCTAAACAACTTGATGTCGTAAAACATGTTCTCGAGTATGACATATTTGATATTACTTCTTTGAATAGAAACCTGCAAACTGTCCTTCATTCTGCTTGTCTCTCAGATCATGATGCACCGGATATTGTTGAATTTCTAGCTAATTATGGGATTAATATAAATGCCATAGATAAAGATGGTCTCACACCACTTCATTATGCAGTAAAGAGGGGTAAAATAAAAACCATGACTCTACTACTGAACCTAAAGTCTGATGTTAACATGGAGGATAAATCGAGTAGATTACCGATTCATTTGGGTTGTTGTTCTAATGCCAGTCTATCAGATGTTGATAAGGCGAATATTGTTACTTTATTGATTAATCAAGGTTCTGATATAAACCATATAGATACTCATGGAAGAACCCCGATTCTTGAAGCCTTGTCAAACTGTCAGACAAAAACTGCAGAATATTTGTTATCAGTGAGGTGTGATGTAAATATAAAAGACAAGAATGGGACATCTGTCATACAGGAAGCTTGTACTAACATGAAACAACATTTTACTTTAATAAATGATTTATTGAAAGTTGTCGACTTCCCAGTTCACGAAGCTGTTCTTTGGTTTGAAGATGTACACGAACTTGATGAATTCCTAGATAAGAATATTGATCAGATCAACACACTAAATGGAGAAGGAGAATTACCCTTACATAAAGCATGTATATCAATCTATAAACCCAGAGAAAAGGCTGAATTGTTATTATATAAGGGAGCACATATCAATTTAAAGAAACATCCAAATCTCCATTTATTTCATTCTACTGTTTGTCTTTTTTCCCCTGTATCTGTTATGAAGTTCTTGTTTGACGTTTATTTTAATTTTGATATTACTGGAAATGGCTGTGAAACATCATTAATGTACTGCTGTCAATCAGGTGTTGACCAGGTTGAAAAGGTCAACCTTATCCTGACAAACAATGTGGATATTCACAATAAAGATGGTAAGGGAAAGGGTGCATTACACTATAGCTGCCTCTATAGTCAAGTAGAATGTGTCAAGATTATTATGGATAGAGGTGCAGATGTCAACGATATAGATGGTAGTGGCCTGACACCTTTGTTTCATTGTATAAAATCAAAAGTAGATAGAATAAAAAAGATGAGATTGTTAATTTCTAGTGGGGCAAGTGTTATTAGCCCTGACAAGTATGGGGAGACTGTATTACATTATGGTGTTGAATACAATAGACCAGAGTGTGTCAGGATCCTGATAGAGGCTGGAGCTGATGTTAATGCAGTGAACAAGTATGGTAAGACTGCATTACACTATGGTGATAAACCAGAGTGTGTCAGGATCCTGATAGAAGCTGGAGCTAATGTTAATGCAGTGACAAATGATGGGTGGAGTGTATTACATTATGGTGTTGAATCCAATAAACTAGAGTGTGTCAGGATCCTGATAGAGTCAGGAGCTAATGTTAATGCAGTGACAAATGATGGGTGGAGTGTATTACATTATAGTGTTATATACAATAAACTAGAGTGTGTCAGGATCCTGATAGAGTCTGGAGCTAATGTTAATGCAGTGAACAAGTATGGGGAGACTGTATTACATTATGGTGTTGAATCCAATAAACTAGAGTGTGTCAGGATCCTGATAGAGTCAGGAGCTAATGTTAATGCAGTGACAAATGGTGGGTTCAGTGTATTACATTATGGTGTTCAATACAATAGACCAGAGTGTGTCAGGATCCTGATAGAGGCTGGAGCTGATGTTAATGCAGTGAACAAGTATGATAAGACTGTATTACATTATAGTGTTGTATACAATAAACCAGAGTGTGTCAGGATCCTAATAGAGGCAGGAGCTGATGTTAATGCAGTGGAAAATGATGGGGAGACTGTATTACATTATGGTGTTGAATACAATAGACCAGAGTGTGTCAGGATCCTGATAGAGGCTGGAGCTAATGTTGATGCAGTGACAAATGATGGGTTCAGTGTATTACATTATGGTGTTAAATACAATAGACCAGAGTGTGTCAGGATCCTGATAGAGGCTGGAGCTGATGTTAATGCAGTGAACAAGTATGGTAAGACTGCATTACACTATGGTGATAAACCAGAGTGTGTCAGGATCCTGATAGAAGCTGGAGCTAATGTTAATGCAGTGACAAATGATGGGTGGAGTGTATTACATTATGGTGTTGAATCCAATAAACTAGAGTGTGTCAGGATCCTGATAGAGTCAGGAGCTAATGTTAATGCAGTGACAAATGATGGGTGGAGTGTATTACATTATAGTGTTATATACAATAAACTAGAGTGTGTCAGGATCCTGATAGAGTCTGGAGCTAATGTTAATGCAGTGAACAAGTATGGGGAGACTGTATTACATTATGGTGTTGAATCCAATAAACTAGAGTGTGTCAGGATCCTGATAGAGTCAGGAGCTAATGTTAATGCAGTGACAAATGGTGGGTTCAGTGTATTACATTATGGTGTTCAATACAATAGACCAGAGTGTGTCAGGATCCTGATAGAGGCTGGAGCTGATGTTAATGCAGTGAACAAGTATGATAAGACTGTATTACATTATAGTGTTGTATACAATAAACCAGAGTGTGTCAGGATCCTAATAGAGGCAGGAGCTGATGTTAATGCAGTGGAAAATGATGGGGAGACTGTATTACATTATGGTGTTGAATACAATAGACCAGAGTGTGTCAGGATCCTGATAGAGGCTGGAGCTAATGTTGATGCAGTGACAAATGATGGGTTCAGTGTATTACATTATGGTGTTAAATACAATAGACCAGAGTGTGTCAGGATCCTGATAGAGGCTGGAGCTGATGTTAATGCAGTGAACAAGTATGGTAAGACTGCATTACACTATGGTGATAAACTAGAGTGTGTCAGGATCCTGATAGAAGCAAGAGCTGATGTTAATGCAGCGGACAAGGATGGGATGACTGTATTACATTATGGTGTTGAATACAATAGACCAGAGTGTGTCAGGATCCTGATAGAGTCAGGAGCTAATGTTAATGCAGTGACAAATGATGGGTGGAGTGTATTACATTATAGTGTTATATACAATAAACTAGAGTGTGTCAGGATCCTGATAGAGTCTGGAGCTAATGTTAATGCAGTGACAAACGATGGGTGGAGTGTATTACATCATTGTATTGTATGCAGTAATGTAACTCATCTACAAATACTGATTGAAGCAGGAGCTGATATTAATAAATTGTACAATGATAGGTGTAGTGTATTACAGGATTGTATCGAATACGGTAATGTAACTCATCTCCAAATACTGATTGAAGCAGGGGTCAAGGTCAACGTAAAAAACAAGGACGGCAATAAACCTATTTATTATTGTTGTAAAGCATTGGAAAACCCTGTTGAAAAGTTAAAATTACTCTTGAATGCTGGGGCTGAACTGACCTACTGGACAAAATTCAAAATGAAGAGGAATAAGGCAACATCATCTGAATTAAACAGGTTTTTAAAAACTTTATAGGCAGTGAATGATGTTATGCAGCGTATATGGTGGGGGGGGGGGGGCGGGGGCTGATCTGTTTATTCAACAAATTCGATCCATCGAGGGGCTAAATGACATTGAATAATCCTCAACTTATGTATCTACCATAGTGTATTCAGTTATCTAGTTTTGAACAAGCATAGTGCGAACAGGCAGCTGTCATAAGAGTGACAAACATAGCACATCAGTTGGTAATACCACACCCATTGGTGACATAAATTAAATCGATTGAAAGTACCATTCTGCTATGATACGATCCTGGTACAGTTGTTCACTGGGGAATTTGTGTTGACTTTAAACTGTGGGTCTATCACTACACACAGGACCATTTATCACTGTTAACGTCAATCCTAATTGATTTGTGTTTAAACAATTAATCATTAGGTTGAAGCAATTAATCATTGGGATAAAATATTTATTTCTTAGGTTTAAACGATAAATAAGTAGGTTCAATCAATCAAAAATTAATAACTTGGTTTAAACAATTAATACTTAGGTTTAAACAATTAAACACATTTGATAATTAGATTAAAACAATTAATACTTAGGTTTAAACAATTAAACGCATTTGATAATGCGATTTAAACAATTAATACTTAGGAATAAACAATTAATACTTAGGTTTAAACTATTATTACTTAGGTTTAAACAATTAATACTTAGGTTTAAACAATTAATAATTAGGTTTAAACAATTAATGATTAGATTAAACTAATTTAAAATATTTAATAATGAAATTTAAACAATTAATAATTAGGTTTAAATAATAATTGTTTGTTTATGTGATTAGGTTTAAACTTTGGATGGTATATAGCGTGATTGTTAATACCAATTGGTTGTCAACTGATTTTTGTTGAGTTAATATGATTAGGTTTAAACATTGGTTGGTATATAGCCTGATTGTTAATGTGTTTTTAAAAATCGTTGAAATATATCATTGTTACACCATGATGGTCGAGTTCAAATTTCGTAAAAATTGGGACCGACACTGCCCAACAAAATGGCCGCTCCTTATACACAAATTATGTAAAAGTATGAGTAGTATAGAGGGTACTTTGAAGCAATTTTGGAATTCCAGACATTCCAAAGGTCTGACGTCACACATTCCTAAGGTCTGACGTCAGAGCATTCCACAGGTGTTCTATTTATAGTTTGAATATGGTTATTGTTGACTGAACAATGAGGTTATGAATAATAAAAAAGGTATGCATGTGTTGTATTCTTTGATCGTGTTTGACTTTTGTAACGAGGGTATGGGGTCCACGAATTGTTTATTGGAGGGTAGGGGGGAAGATATTTCGCTTTATAGGCAGGTGTGCAGAGGTTACATTGAGTTCACGTCACGCGTAGTTATACCTGCATTCAGGGACAATGACCTCCGCCATTAAGCTTGACAGGTGAACATGTTGTGATTGTTTATCAAAGGTTGTTTATATCCCACACACCAACCCCCACCCCCACCCCCGTCCCTCCCACCACACCCCGGCCTAACCTAAAAAAAACCCACTTCACAGGTCTACACTCTTCAATCCGTGTCGATACTAAGAAACCAACAACAGCCTTTTTTTTTTTTATAATATTTTATTTAGCCATCGTGTTATATATATATATTTTTATAATGATGGCATGTTCCAATCTGCTAGCTCCCTATAAGTGTCGAGAACGTTGATGATGTTCTTGAACGCAGGGTTCGTTCCCTCAACCATCCTCAACCTTGTCAGTATGTAGTCCGTAAAAGCTAACAATCTGCAGAAAAGAACAAATCAGATAGGTATTGGTAAAATAAAACATACCAAGTAGAAAAAAATCACCAAAAAACTTACGTTTCTTTTTCCTGCTCAGGTGATGGACTTATAGGGGTTATATATGGGTGGTGTGTCGCCAGTAAATTATTGGCGTCGAACAGAATATCCCTTAGTTGGATAGCTATAGCGGGTGTTCCAATAGCATTGAGACACGGTGCCAATGTACACAGCATTAGGGTAATTATGCTTTTCAAGTAAGCCTGAACCTGGTCAATACTGTACCTTAAACAACAAAAAATATAATATTATAATTTATATTAAAGATATTTTCAAAGTCAAAATATTAATAGGTTGGTTAATACCAATAAATGTATGCCAATTTTGGTGTGTATGGGTGTGTGTAGCTTGAAAAAGTAGAAACATTCGAGTATGATGAAAAGTACGGTGGACGGATGCCATGGAGGTACAGTGTGTGGTTCTCTTGCACTTACCATTAAGCATTGCTTTCAACATAAAGTTCACGGTCTCTACGTATATGCAGGGTAATATAGCATCTTAGGCTCCTAACCGGGTTAATATTTGTTGAATATGTTTGACAAATATGGTTGCTTAGATATGAACAGTTTTAAAAATAAGCAAAGCAGACGAAAGTCGTATATTAATCTCAATTGTTAGGAGAGCGATTTAGCTAATTTACGCGTGTCTTTAATTACGCACTACAAAGGTCACCCTACGAGGGTCGAGTGAAAAAGTAAACATGAAACGCTGTTTTAAAAGTAGGTTTCGAATCACAATTTTGAAGAAATAATAAAAAAACTTACATTTTGAGACGGTCTTGGTTTTCTTTTTTTACAAAGTCGACGAGAGTTGATAATGCTTATTCGTTCAGAGGCGAGAATAATTTTCACAGACAAACGGTTGGTACTTATAAAGAAAAGTGAATACTTTTATGAGCAACTATAAATCGTAGGGAGGTCCGAGTTGTTCTAAGATATTCCTTTTAAAATATTATACATTAAAACTAGACAATACTCCGTTGTGAATAATTTTAAAATAAATATCTCCACTTAAAAATATTATTCATGAAAACTAGGCAAATGTTCATAAAGTTTAACATTAGGTTTTGGCTGTAAAGGAGGGGTCAATTACGCGCCCTGTACTCAGACAACAGCTATAAACTGTCGGTGTTTTTATCAAGTACTAGACATAACCAATGACGCGAAATAATTGACAGAAAGCCGTGTGATGTCTGTCGGCGATCGAGTCGTTGAACCCCCCCCCCCCTACTGACAGCGAGTGGTTTAAAAGACCAACCGTCTAGCTACTTGTCAAAGCAGGTGTCAGTGGCTGGCTGTTTAACCTCTAGCCGCAAAGCATGCTACATTGAGTGTGTATATCTCGTAAGACCTTGTCTTTTAGTATACGCCTAGCAATTACTGGGACAAATTCGGAAAATAAGGTCAGTTTTTTTCCTTTAAATATACATTGTTTAAGATTAAGATAATTATTATTATTTTTATTATTCACTCTTTTCGAATTGTTTGGGGTCTCTGAGTACAAGATCTTGTACATATATTTTGTTTTTTATGTAGAATTGTTCAAAGTGTAGATTATAGCCAGGGTTAAAAATTCAGACAATTTCGACAGTTTTATCAAGAAAGTTGTGTTTGAAAAGTAAAATATTATTGTATCCGTAAATCGCAAAGCCGGGTGTTGTTAGGGTATCACTCGATGTGAAGATTATTAGTCCGGTTGTCAAACCTCACCCCGATGTTTACATTCACGAGGATTACATTAACGATAGATTATTATTTATTAGCGATAGTATTACATTAATAATAAACGATTGGTCGTTTCTTAAATTAAATTCTTAACAGGTTACGGTGTTAGTTTTGTAAGAGTTTTTGATTGTGAAATTTGAATGTATATAATGTAAGTGTTAGATCTTATGAAGCCGGGCCGTTTTTGCTAGATTCTATAAAGTGAGTCTGAAATATATCTCACAATTCACTTGGCGCATCTATTATTAGAAACAAAATAGATCCGAGGAGAATGAAGCGTGAATCACGATGGAGAATTAAGAAGATTGTGAGAAGCCATACGGCTGATTCATGACGAGAGAAAATTACCATTTCAATTAAAACCTTTACAAACAAAATTTTAGAGAGGGTCATTGTAGACTAGCGAGATGTTTTGATAGATTCAGTACGTGGTAACTTAAAAGACTGGATAATCCAGACAATGACAGGCTTTCCGTCAAATTTTGAGGACCCATCCAGACTAATATTCGTAGAATATTTGTTTGGATGATAGAGACAGCTTTACCGTTCGTTCAACATGTAAGGGGAGGTAACTACATTCAACATGTAACAAACCTTGGAATCACACCGGCTATTATGAATTATCTTCAAATTGACATTTTTTCTAAGTTTGACTCTCTCGGTTCCTTGACCCATCAATCATTATGCAATGAGTTAGTAATACTTACCATCATTATGCAATGAGTTAGTAATACTTACCGTCACGTTCAAGGTGTAAGGTCCCTTGTTTTTAACAAATAGACGTCGTTGTTTTTTTAAAAATCACATGATTCTACAGTCATGTTGTCTATATTATATTCCTTCACTTTATCGTTTTTGGAATTCCACTCCGTCAAGAATAGATAGGGACCCCCTATTGAATCGAAAAAGCTAAATTCCGATTTCTTAGCCGCCTCGATGCATTCGGTTTTAGATTTGTACAAAACTCTGGAAGTCGCTAGGGTAATCACACTCTGTTTGAAAAATCCTCTGAATTGCCAGCGAAAACCTCCCGACAAACATGGTTTAATCATTTGCATAAAACTACAGGTTTGATTGTACCTAGTGTGTTCAACGAATGGGTTGTCTCCGGGGTTCCAAGACTTCAATATTAAGTTGCATCTAAAACATTTTACGCGATCGTAAGGTCCAATATAGATAAAGCCAGCCTTGCTCAAATTATGAGGTGTCGGCTGCTTATGCATCCAGCAATTATCAAAGGTAGCCAGACGATCGTTATAGAGTATATAAGGATCCATCTTACTACACCATTTAAAAACCCAACACCTAGATCTAAAAAAAAAAAAAAAAAAAAAAAAAAAATTGTTACAGTCATGTACTTTTGATTATTATTAAAACAAATTTTCTGCTTTCTTAGAATGGATGCGTTTGAAACCTACACACACACTCAATGGGGCGAAATACTACAGATTACAGACGAATTTGAATATTGGACGGCAAGTCAAACCTTGGCCGTTAACGAAGCTCTAGACCACGTCGAGAATGAAAATCATAATGAAACACAGGGGGTTAAGCGGCAACTGTCTGACCCTGACACCGCGGATGCCTCTGAAGAAGAAGGAAGGTTAGAAAAAAAACCCCGACCGGTGGTTAGTCCGATATTATTTTCAGATGACGATAGCGACTTTGACACGTCGCAGGTGAGCAAAAAAACTTTACACGATATTCAAAATAATGTGAAACCTAATTCGTCTACAGAAAGTGAAAAGATCGATCCGCTAATTGCACTATTAACGAGTGACATAACATTGCCTTCTAATATCCAATCTTTAGTGGCTAAGGTTTGTGACGAAAAAGACGACGAAGTCGTCGACATTTTTGATTTGTTAACACCACCGGATTTGTTTTTTTAAATACCATACCAAACCCAATCTCCATTTTTTTTTTTTTAAAGATTTGTCAAGTGGGGAGAGGTGGCGAAGATTTAGTAAGGCTGATTTCGGTGGAGCGCCGTTTTTCAAGAAAGTTTAATATCCATTCCGAATTAATGAGAATCGAAATTATAAACACGGAGGCGGTTACCACTCCTGACTGGCTAGAGCGGCTATTCACTCAGATATTAGAGACCGTCAGAGAAAATTTCAATGTTCAGCCAAACGAGAGGGTAAGAATACAACTAAATCATCCTGATTTGGACAACCCCATATATATTGCGTTTAGACCTTACGAAGAACTAACTTTGGAATTAATCTTGGAAGAGATTGCGAAAGTTATGCAGTCAAAAAAAACACTAGTTATTGACAATCAAACTTCTATATCCGTAACCTATGTAGCCTCTAAAGAGGGCGGTGCTTTTACAAATACGGTTCTTTTGAACGAGGCTTTTATGAGTTCAAAAAAACGAACATTTATATCACCAGTTGCCAACTATGGTTATCAAACTTGTTTCGGACAATCTATCGTCCTGGGTATAAATGAAATTTCTTATCGTAAGAAAATTTCACCGACAGTCGAAGAAACTAAACATTACAAACGTGTAGCAAACAAACGTAAGAAAAAACCGTTACAGATTGCTATGGCTATGGAAATGTATCAAGAGTACGGGGTTAACCCGTTAGTGCCTACAGGTCGTCCTGAATGGTGCATATTCCAAGAACACTTAAAAGCTAAATATCAAATTGTCATCTATGACGCACAGAGTGCAAATTGTGTCATATTCAGAGGTGTTGCGGATCCCAATGTACCCGTTTTAAGACTGTATTTAATGGAAAAACATTTTTATTATATAAAGAAAATCAACAGCTTATTTAATCAAGCATACTATTGTCCAGCGTGTGAAAAACCATATTCGGATAAGAATAAACATGTGTGTAAAGCGACATGTCACAGTTGCCGTCAGGTAGATTCTTGTCCTAGGGATCGACCACGAATACAATGCGAACTTTGCCACCGTTATTTTAGAGGGTTGAAATGTTTGGAGAGACATAACCAAAATGTCCCACTATACACCGTGACGACGTGTGTGAAATATAGGGCCTGTTTAAAGTGTTATGCGACAATAGACACACACGAAGATGACGCAATGAATAAACACACATGCGATGTGCACAAATGTCGTAATTGTGAGCAGCTGTGTAAACCTAACCATAGGTGTTATATGAAACGATTATCGGAGGATGTTGAAGTTGAGACCATCAGATATTTTGTTTTTTACGACTTTGAGACTATTTTGGATGAAAATAATATCCATGTAGCGATTTTATGCGTTGCACACCGCGTGTGTCCTTTATGTTTGGAGAAAGACATTAACGAACCTTGTGACGGTTGTAACTTAAAGAACGCTCAGAGAGAATGGATTTTGTATGGTAAATATTGCGTCTCTGAGTTTTGTCGCTGGATAGTTCAGACCGAAATAAATGTCGACCTCAAGGGTAAAAAAACTACCGTTCTAACTCACCGACACTCGAGGTTCATAGCACATAATAGTCAGGCTTTCGATGCTCTATTTGTATTGAGATATTTCGTCATACATACTAGAATTCTACCTCAAATCATCGCAAACGGGTCTAAAATCCTTTGTATGACTATAAACAATAATATACGTTTTTTAGACAGCCTGGCGTTTATGCATATGAAACTTACAGATTTTAGCAAAACATTTGATTTACCGATTACGAAGGGTATATTTCCGTATTCATTCCTTAAACCTGAAAATTTGGAATACAATGGTGAAATGCCACCGATAAGCTTTTACGAAACGTCAACTATGTCTCCGCAGGAACGTGATAAGGTTATTAAATGGTATAATGAACGCGTGTTACAAAACAATTATTTTGACACTAAAACAGAATTGACAAACTATTGTGTAAGCGATGTAATTCTCCTCAGGCTGGCATGCGCTCGGTTTCGTAGTCTTTTCATAGAGCTGACCAAAATCTCGCCCTTTCAAAAGGCTATTACGATTGCGTCCTTGTGTAACCTTGTCTACCGGAGAAAATTCTTACCTCCCTTTACGATTGCTATAGCACCCCAGGGTCAGTATGTAGTCGCCCGTCAGTATTCAAATTCAAGTATACGTTACATGCAATATCTGGAATACATTGAAAACCGTCATATACAACATGCCCGTAACGGTGGTGAAAAGGACATTTTCAATATGTATGTAGATGGGTGGTATATGGAAAATAATACCGAAGTGTGTATCGAATACTTGGGTTGCGTTTTCCACGGCTGTCTCTGTATAAAAAACAGAGAGCGAACATCACCATACAATAACAAAACTATGGCCACGTTGTACGAGGAGCACTTGGCACGTTTGGAACGGCTGAAGGCCCCCAACCGTCGCGTTCGTTGTATATGGGAATGCGAACACCGACAACTCGTAAATACCCCGGCGTATTTAGACTTTGAAACAAGAACACCACCTTTGACGGCCCCCTTGCAAGTACGTGACGCCTTTTATGGTGGCAGGACGAACTTATTAAAATTTTATCACAAGGCCCGTGAAAACGAAAGAATTCGATATCTGGATTTTACGTCACTTTAACCCTTTATCAATAAATCAGCGATTTATCCAGTAGGAAATCCCTTGATTATTCTACGGGACTTCTTACCTTTGGAGAGTTATGTAGGGTTTGTTAAATGTCAAATCCTCCCTCCAAGGGGGTTATACATACCCGTCCTGCCGTTTAGGTCCAACGGCAAACTGTTATTTCCGTTATGTTCTAAATGTGCTCTGAATCGTAGCAAGACGGACTGTACTCACAATGCAGATGATAGGTCACTGACAGGTACTTGGGTTATATTTGAAGTTATCGCAGCGATTAAAAAAGGTTATCGCATACTCAAAATCTTCGAGGTATGGAATTTCCCACACACACGCCAATATTGCAGCGGTGACGCCCCGATTGATCCGAAAGACTACGATATTCACGTGTCTACCGTCCGTGCCGACTATACTGATATCCCGGAAGACGATATATTTGCACAGCTACCCAAAAAAGACCTGTTCAGTGAATATATCAACATGTTTCTCAAAATTAAACAAGAGAGTTCGGGGTATCCAAATGAGCTTAATCCTGCGTGTAACTTGTGTGATAATCTAGATACGTGTTGCCATATCGACTGGCAGGTTCTCGAACAAAAACGTTTGGCATATATTAAAGCTTACAAACAACACGAAAACATTACTCTCGATGCAAATAAAATATCTAAAAATCCGGGGCTACGATACTTGGCGAAGACCGCATTAAATAATTTATGGGGTAAATTCGCTGAAAGGTCGGATACGCGAATACAATCTGTTATCACACCCGACCCAACCGTCTTCTACGATTATCTTTATGACGGTACAAAAGTTGTCAGGAATATCGAAATTCTCAGTGAAGAAATGGTCCTAGTTCAGTATACAGAGCGGCAAGATCTTGTCGCTAATGCCCCACACGTGAATGTGCCTATAGGGGCTTTCACTGCGGCCTACGGCCGTATGAAACTGTACGAATATTTAGATAAATTGAACCATCGGGTTCTGTATTTCGATACTGATTCCATCATTTTTACAGAGACCGATAATGACACGCCTGTTGCAACCGGAAATTATTTAGCCGAATTTACGAGCGAAACGTCGCCCGACTGTCGCATACTTGAATACGTCGCCACTGCCCCCAAATCCTACGCTTTGAAAATTGAAAACGAAAAAACACGTGAAATCTTTTATACCATTAAATCTAAAGGTATTACGTTTAACCACGATGTCTGCCAACGTATCGAGTTTCAAACGTTTGTCGAATTAGTGCACGATCACTGTCGTAAGGTCAAAGTCACATACCCGAAAGCTTTCCACCGCAGTAAAGTGTTTGTGGTTTCTATGAAAGAGAAGTCGAAAACCTTATCATTCAATTACGATAAACGTGTAGAAATTAGGGATTCCTATGATACAAAGGCTTATGGTTTTGTCAAGCAAAACGAATAGTGATACGTATGTCTGTATATATATATATATATATATATATATATATATATATATATATATTATGATTGTAACTGTAATTACGTATATTGTAACACCATTTGTTGATAACCCTGTGCATATGTGATATAAAAAATATAAAAAAATAAGACCTTGTTTTGTTTTTTCTAAAAAAAACCATTTTATTCAACTATTCTACATCTAGAGTTACATTTTAACATACATGAGGTCATACAGATATGGACATTTACATTTTAAATCTAAGAGCAATAAAACGCCGGACATATCTGTCGTTTTCACGGTGATTTCGGGAAAATGTTTTTATAATTCTTTTCATGTTTTTACCTCTACAGCGATGATAGGCATAAAATACACAATATTGGCCACATACGTCACTGAACAAGTCCTGTAGATGCTTCCGGCTGTATACGAGTGGCAACCCCGTTTTCATAATCCTTTGCATAACGCCATTATGGCGGGGTTTAAGGCCAAAGGAATCAAAGTGTTCAACCTCATGGTGACCCACATAAAGAAGTAACCAATGTTCACCCTTCTTATTGGATGTATGGGTATTGTAAATATATAGTCCACGCTGTAACGTCTTGGGTAGTTTGTCACGGGCAAAAACACCTCGAAAATGAGGGGCTATTTGGGGGTCGCTTTTTAACATGACTGTGATATGTTTTGTATTCATCTCAAAAGTCTGTTATAACATTTCGAGCACTGTCTATTTCTATCTTGTTTTCAAACTCACTGTATAGAATCACGTTCACAGTAGATACCAAGGCTGTCCCGAATCGTATTTCGAGTTTCGCATTACCCGTTCTGTTGAGATGTACAGTATTGTCGTCAGAAAGTTCTGGGGTGTAATCAAAACAGAATATGCAGTAGCCGTTTCGATAACCATTCATCGTAATGGTGGGTCCTTTGTCCTGGAAAAGACTAGACGTCCCGGAAAATAAGGTGTTGAAAGCTCGTGTATAACCGTAACCTAGGGTTTCGCTGAAATTCGGACTCAGTGGTTTAGCGAAGACATCCTCCCCATTAACCTGGAGCGATATATGATTTATGTCAAAATTCTGCAGGCGATAAGGATTTTTATCGGCGACTCCTGAAAAGGCCTGGTTCGACACCAGAGCTACGAGAACTCGTCGAGGTGTTTGCCCTAAGAACAGATTATCCTTATCCAAACTTCGATTCCCCGCAGGTATAGTAAAGCTTTTTACATCTACGCGTCGAATAGGATAAATCGCATTTCGTTTCATCAAGGCACTGGCATGTGCGACTATGACGGAAGGGTTCAGCTTTAATCTACGTATAAAAAGCGACGCTTTTTCGATCACCACTTTAAAATCATTCGTGGCTGCCATGAGACAAAAGGCATCTTTAGAACGTACAAATCTAAGTCTCATATCAACTCCATTTAGTAAGTATTTACTCTGACTAAACAAATCCAGGTGTAGTTTCCCCAGCATATCCACAGATTTACTACCTTTGAAGGATTTGGCTCGAAACTTGAAACCATTATTACTGCCGCCGTCGGAGGCGTCACAACTTTCGAAATGCCCGGGGGTGTCTAAACGCCACTGGCAAGATAATAAATGTGATTTTTGAGCATCCGTCCCATAACTCAAAAGATTCTCCAAATAACATCGGTAGGGATTGACGGCCGCTGGTTGTGATACTCTCTTGCCATTTAACGACACATCGATTTGACTAAACAGACTGTGTAAGAAATTATTCACAGGGCCCACGTTAGCGGCATCTGCTATATTCGTGCCATCTGAGTTTAAAATTTTGGCTCGTACGGTAAAGAAACTCTGAGCTAGATCTAAATATTCTTCACCTGCCCCCGACATGTAAAATTCGATTGGGGCGCCACTGTCTAGATTAGATATAGGATGATATTCGTGCCATTTCCCACTTTCAATATCTATTTTGGTGTTTGGTGCACTGAAGATATCGAGCCCGCTACTTAGGCATTCACAGGAACGCGGATCGATCATTTTTTTGGGTGGGGGTCTGTAACGGTGTCTGAATTTCAACTAAAAATGTCCGATGAGGTCTGCTTACGTCGCTTTCGCTTCTTACCCCGGACTTGTTTTAGACGTTTGGCACCCCCTTGCCGAGTAGCCCCCTTTATAGGACCCGCGATGCTCTTGAGGGCTCTTGTACCCAGATCGCGACTCGCTTGTAACAAGTGTTGTTTAGCAGAGGTTTTTAAATTTTTACCGTGAAGAACGTCTCCAAAAATCTGGGCTCCCGTGGTGAGTGCTTTTTTCCCGACAGTTTTGGCTGCCGACTTTAAGAGGGGCGTAGCTACTCGAAATAAACTTGAGAAAACCGATCCTAAACCATAACCTTTCTGATACGGTGACCCCGTAAAAATTGGAAATCCGTCACCCGTTTGACTGAGGTAATAACGTCGTATCTTTGCATCGTCACACCTGTAGGGTTGTAGACACGTCATTATTCGACCTTGCGCAAGTGCAGTTTACAAAGAACGTGTCCAAATTCAAATGGTACTGGTTGTCCTAGTTCCGTGTAAAGTCCGAGTTCAACCGTGTCTATGTAATGTTTGTTGACTGGTATATAATAGGGGTTGTCAAACGTTTTATATACAGCCGATCCAAAGGGTTTAGCTAGATCCACCTGTATAGCTCGCAACAACGGTGCGCTTGTATCACCGACCAACTGATTTTCGATAATATCAGTGTAAATATAAATATTGTGAAAATTGGAATCTAAATCGACTTTTGTGTCACTTTTCACACTGCTTGTAAATTCATTCTCTTTCATAAACCCGAATATCCGGGCTAAATTCTTGGACAAATGGACTTTTCGACCGTCTCTTCCTAGAAGTAATAAGACATAACCCTCGGGATCTTTCACGATAGATAATGATGCCCCAACCTCCAACGTCGATTTATTGAAATGATTGATTATGTCGTGTCCAGTATCGTAGTAACCATCGGGTATTGAAAAACGTAAGCGATGTGGTCCCTCTATTTCCGTTTTACTACGGTATGCCAACCAACAATCTTTGAGGTATATTTTGTTCCAACTGCAAGGGTATTGAATTTCGACGAGTCCGCATGTCCAGGCCCCGTCGAGGTGGAGTGGGCGTGCCAATTTTGTTGTATAATTGCTGATCTTGTTGCTAGGAAAATATTTAACTGAATTATTAGATGGGAGAGTTAGAAATATTTGATCGTCCCGCTCTGCCATGGCTGTCTAATTCCGTCGTGACTGATCCACATACACCTGTATACCGACCCCTTTTTAAGTAAAAAAAAAAAATATTACAACCGCGATGAATTATTATTCGCTACCTCTTGGTTTAGCATCACCGTATTTAAAATTTCAACAGTTATCATGGTCAGCGTGATGAGCACTATGAATGCGTACACAATGACTTCGCAAAACTCGCCGTCGCAGTTGGGTCTCTTTGCCTCTTGTAAAAACGTACGGACACGGCTGTAAACTTGTGGATTTAACGTTGTCATTTTTGTAGGACGTCGGATGCTTTTATCCAACTGTCAAACGCTTTACCGTACCCTTTCCACCGAACTAATAAA